TCTCTCTCTCTCTCTCTCTCTCTCTCTCTCTCTCTCTCTCTCTCTCTCTCTATCTCTCTCTCCACGTCTCTCCAACCCTCTCCTCCTATTTCTCTCATCCCTATTGTAATTTTAAAACTTCCACATATCCACTAACGCGTTCATATGACCGTATGTAGTTGCGAGCGCCGTAAAACTCTTACTAAAACAAACTAATATCCACTTACACAACCTATGTGAGGCAGCATGGTGGAATCAGGCTCTCGTCAAAATAATCAAAGTGAAGAAACTTGCATTTTCCCACAGGTTTGTGAATTTTTTTCAATTTTTTGTTTTTTGGCTCAACACCTTTCATGCCCATTAAAGAACTCATTTCTGTACGGAATTTTCTGAAAAACGTTGATTAAAGGCACGAAAATGTAAATTTTCAGCTACCACGGACTCTTAAGCTAAGGAAATAACTAATCTTTGCCGGTTATTTTCTCACTTATCTTACCTCTGAAAGCAGGTGACCCCCACTCCCTTCATTTACAAATATCTCGACTTGTATTCAAGATAATTGGATACATTTTTCACCCAAATAAAGACAAATGAACAAGCTTTAAAATTATACCAATAACTCTACATGCTCAAAAATTGACGAGAGCCTGATTCCACCACGCTGCCTCACATATTATCTTTTAGGCAGCGGGCTTCTTCGACGCATCCAGTCAGGACAACGTCTCTTCATTCTGACATAGAAAAATACCCGTTAAAACCTGTCCGCAAGAGAATCGAACTCATTTCTTATGTGCACGACAGCGAAGCGTCTAACGGCTACACCCCATACGCCGGGCTGAAGAAATGATAGGGCTGGGCAATGAGTCTCTTTAACAAAATCCGGATAATATGTTAGTCCACCTCTTCGGTAAATAATAATATGTTATGAACCGGTTCGACAAATGTGTTAGAACCACTTTGACTAACGGGTTAGCATCACTTCAACAATAAATGGGAGGACCCACTTCGGCAAACGGGGCAGGAAAAAGAGTTAAAGAGTCTGAATTCGGATAATGTCTTATTGAAGATTATCCGATTATCCGGATATTTATCCGGATTTTGCCCACCTATAAGAAATGAGAAAGGAAGATTATGGTTCAGCATAAAAGCCCTGTGTT